GGAAAGCACAGGACGTTCAACGAGTGGCCAAAGAGGTCCAGGAGTTGTCACCTCTAAAATTAAAGGTATATTTAATAGTGATTGAAATTTAAAATAAATTAATTTATAATATAAAAAACATTTTTAACAGCCATTAGAAGTTGTGGGAGATTTGACCAAAACGTCTGATTTAAACAATTTAATCGATTCTACTGTCAAAACGTTTGGCAAAATCGATGTATTGGTCAATAACGCCGGTATCCTTATCAATACAAACATCACTTCACCGGATCTGTTATCAGTTTGGGATCAGATATTTGCCATTGATTTACGCGCTATCGTAGAGATCACTCACCGATCGGTTCCACATCTGGAGAAAACCAACGGAACTATTATTGATATCTCAAGTATTCTCTCAATGGCACCGGTATTTATTAATAATATATTTATTATTCAAATATGTTTCTACATCACTAAATTTAGTTTTCATATCCACACAATACTTAACATTTTATACCACATTACTTTTATTACAATATTTATTGTTATTCTTACCATATTAATTAAACATTTTAATTTAATTGTTTTTTAGTACAAGAATGCTCTTGCCTTTTCATCGGCTAAAGCAGGTCTGGATATGTTGACCAAAATATTAGCCCTGGAATTGGGACCCAAAGGTATTCGTGTCAATACTATTACGTAAGTATTATCAAGATTATTATCAATATGACCTCATCAATGTATATCTAACTCAATCTTTATCATTGATGTCAATAGTCCGGGTGCTATACAAAACAGAGACACTCTGACACCCATTGAAAAGCTTGCGGCCAAATACACGCCATTGGGAAGAGTGGGTCAACCCCTAGACATCGCCCGTGCGGTTGCATTCCTGGCCTCCACTGACGCACACTTTATTACCGGCGCTAATATAGTGGTCGACGGCGGCGTTGTATACAATTTTGGTGCTATTAATACACTGTAAACTGTGTTTATAAATAAACGCTCTATGCTATTTAATATGTGCAATGTTGTTTGCACATTATTCTGTTTAAAATTTTGTAAAAATTTAAAATATTAAATATGTATATTGATTCAATTAATTGAAAAATAATATTATTAAAATTAAAATGAATAATTTTGTTGTGAAAACTTTTGTGACTTTTAATGAATTTAATGTTTAATTAAATGTGCGTTTAATTAAACCCATAATTAAAGTATTGATTATAAGAGTAAACCACATCTCATACAGACTGCGGGAGTGAGAGCACCGGTAGGTGTGAGAGATAGGGATCGACAGCACCTGTGAGTAAACCGCAAACCGTTAATATCACCGAAACTAATCCACTCATACCAATAGGCAAACAGCTGTTTTGATTGGCCAATAGGCGCGAGACATCGGGTGTTTGTGGTGACTGTGAGCGGACACACAGTCGAGTCACCGACGGGTGTGTTATCTCAAGACATACACCACTTAACAACACAATACCAGAGCCAAAACCTCGTGAGCGATGGTCGCGGCGGCGTTTCCTATTGTCATGCATGTAGTTAAGTGTTTTGTTAAATTGAAAATTTATAGATATCGTACTTTGATTATTCAAGTATATTTCAAAATTGTTAGTTTTAATATTGAACTAAAAATACTGTACTTATATCACAACAATACTTTAATATTTTACTATAATATTTAATACAATAGTGCAATTTTAGTGTATTTAACATTTACCTTTATAATATCAACCTTGTTAGTTAGTATTTAGTGCAACAATTAAGCTATAAAATAGCATATATTTCTAACAAATAATAAGATTATCACTAAAAAGTTTAAGTTTATATTTTGAATTATTGTTTAAATTTTTGAATCAAAATTAATATTTTATAAATAATTATTAAATATGAAATTCTTAATAGCATTGATGTTTGGATTGGTATGTATTGTGAGCGCAGACTATCCTATAGAGGACTATAAAGCGGTCGCAAAGTCCCGAAACTTTACGGGTAGTGTAGTTGTAGTGACCGGTTCCTCGTCGGGCATCGGAGAGGGAATCGTTAAACTGTTCTCAATATTAGGGGCTAATGTTGTGGTCACCGGAAGGACAGCACAGGACGTTCAACGAGTGGCGAAAGAGGTCCAGGAGTTATCGCCGTTAAAATTAAAGGTATATTTATTAATAATTCAATTATTAAATAAAATTAAAGTCTAATTATAAATACAATGATTATTAACAGCCATTAGAAGTTGTGGGGGATTTGACCAAAACCTCTGATATAAACAATTTAATCGATTCTACGGTCAAAACGTTTGGCAAAATCGATGTATTGGTCAATAACGCCGGTTTATATCCGACGACAAACATCACTTCACCGGATCTGTTGTCAGTTTGGGATCAGATATTTGCCGTCGATTTACGCGCTGTCGTAGAGCTTATCCACCGATCGGTTCCACATCTGGAGAAAACCAACGGAACTATTATTGATATTTCAAGTGTCTTATCTCTTGCACCGGTATGTATTACAAGTTGTAACTTACAACTGTTAGACATATCGCAGTTATTAATAATATAAGTAGAAGTTATTAAGAATAATATATTCTGATGGCATGTAATAGATTTTATAACCATATAGAATTGTGATTATTTAAATAGAGAAAATACTGACTGAAAATTGAGTACAATCTCTCAATAATTAATCAATTTTATCTAATTAATAATTATTTATTTTGTGTAAAATATACATTAAACTTTTAATAATTTTTATTAGACAAAAACTATGTTAGCTTATTCATCGGCTAAAGCAGGTCTGGATATGTTGACCAAAATATTAGCCCTGGAATTGGGGCCCAAAGGTATTCGTGTCAATACTATTAAGTAAGTACTATTAAGATTATCCATATGACCGCATCTTTATAATACATCTATCTTTATATCTCACTTAATCATTATCATTGATGTCAATAGTCCGGGTACTATACAGAACAGAGACACTCTAACACCCGTTGAAAAGCTATCGGCCAAATACACGCCATTGGGAAGAGTGGGTCAACCCCTAGACATCGCCCGTGCGGTCGCATTCCTGGCCTCCACTGACGCCCACTTTATTACCGGCGCTAATGTTGTGGTCGACGGCGGCTTTGTATATAATTTGGGTGTTGGTAATACATTGTAAACTGTGTTAAACAATCGCATTGTGTTAATGTTATAAGATTATTATCACATAATTATATATTTACAAAATTCATATTAAATGTAGTATAAAAAAAGCATAACTTATGAACCAACAATTTTTAAAATTTATTAATTTAATAATTATAACTATAATGTTAATAAACTTACTTATTTTAATAAAAACAGTATTTATTTAATTACTATTAACTTTATCATTCATTTGTGATGGAGGGTTTTTTCCCCATAACTTTAGTCACTCATTTGTTTTTACTTTTTACTCAATCTCTCTGTATTTTACTGTAACTGAGTTTTAGGGATTATCCCCCAGTGGAATAATCCCTCTTATCTGTATTGAACCCTAACTGTACTCTTG